TGAGGGGTGAGAGGCCTGATAGCCTTGGTTTTGGGGGGGGTCAGAGTGGTCCCCAGAGTCTGGGCCTGCTGAGGGGTAAGAGTGGTCCTCAGGGCCTCTGCCTGCTGGGTGGTCAGAGTGGTACCCAGGGCCTGGGCCTGCTGGGGAGTCAGAGTGGTCATTAGGGCCTGGGCCTGCTGGGTGTCAGAGTGGTCATCAGGGCCTGGGTTTTCAGAGGAGTGAGGGGTTTGTATTTTAGGTGGGGCTGTGGGTAAATGGGAGGCACTCCAGGTGGTGAGGACTCGGTGAAGAGGGGTGCAGCGTTTGTGTTCAGCTCCAGCTGTCTCTCTGTTCAGGCCCTTGCGCAGCTTCTCCTCTTTCTTCTCCTCTTGCTGTTTCATTGGCCCCAGTGTTTTCAAGTCAGCAGTACCCTTCAAAGGCCCAGGACCCATTTTCTGATGGTCTTCAGGTGGACGGTATTGTTGTCCTGGCAATCTGGGGTCAGTACAGCTGGGGCTTTACATAAAAGTGAAGAGCCCCACTTTATCTCGGAGGATTTGATCTTTTTTGTTGGAGACTTATATAAAGTATTTTCCAATTCCTTGGCTAAAATATTGTCCATACTGTCTGCTATGTCCCCAGCCTTGATATGGGTCCTGGGTGTGGGCACTGATGTATATTCTTGCTGGCCTGCACGAACTGTGGTTTGAATTAGCTGCTCATAGTTTTCTTCTTTCTCTTGCAGTTTTCGTTGCAGCAGCTCGTTTTCCTCACTAAGGTCACAGATCATCCTTCTGGAGAGTTCTTTTTCTGTTTCATACTTTTCAAAAAACATGCTGTCACTTACAATGTTAGAAACATTGACTTGTTCACACACGGCACTCAAGGCTTTGTAAAGATTTAATATAGTTGCTGAGATATATTTGATTGCAGTGTTTTCCATTTTGTTGAACATTGAAGAACCTATGAGTTCTTGTAACATACGTTGAATTTCCAAAACCTTGGTGTTGGTTGTAAATTGATCAGAGATCATTTGATCTGGTCTTAGTGCAAGGGCTGTTGCAGGTCGCTTTATAAATCTGTCTTTCCATGTTTTCCATAGAGCACCTCTAGATACTGGAAGGAAAAAAATGTAAAACAAAACAATGAGATCATATTGCTTCTTTTGTGCTGTGCTCTATGTTTAAGCCTAATGAATTTAGACCAAATGGACAGTTAACCGTCCGTTGAAGATTAGTCAGAAAACTTTAGCTATGACCCTGGCCTTGTGCCACACCAGATTAATCCACAACTTATCACCTTGTCATCCCATGTTGGAGCACTCACTGGAGTCCCAGATGCCCTGCTAATGTGCCTAGGAGGATAGTGGGGGATGGCCTGAGTTCCCAGCCTCTGTCACCCACATGGGGATAAACTAGATGGAGTTCCAAGCTTCTGACATCATCCTGGCCCAGCCAACTGGGAAGTGAACCAGTAGATGGATGATCTCATTCTCTCTGTGTCTCCTTCTATCTTTGTCACTCTACCTTTCAAATAAGTAAATCTTTGAAAAAAGAAAAACAGGTCAGTGCCACGGCTCAATAGGCTAATCCTCCGCCTGCGGCACCTGCACACCAGGTTCCAGTCCCGGTCAGGGTGCTGGATTCTGTCCCTGTCACCCCTCTTCCAGGCCCGCTCTCTGCTGTGGCCCAGGAGTACAGTGGAGGATGGTCCAGGTCCTTGGGCCCTGTACTCGCATGGGAGACCAGGAGAAGTACCTTGCTCCTGGCTTCAGATCAGTGTGGTGCGCCGGCCGCAGCGCACTGGCCATGGTGGCCATTGGAGGGTGAACCAACGGCAAAAGGGAGACCTTTCTCTCTGTCTCTTCTCTCTCACTGTCCACTCTTCCTGTCAAAAAAATTTAAAATAAATAAATAAATATAAAAAAAGAAAAAAGAAAAACAGAGAGAAAAATGCAGCTCTAAAAGTTTTGGTTTTAGAATCGTGTTTTCTTACAATCACCCAGAATTGCTTCCAGAGGTAAGGAGATGATCTCAGTTGTGACATCATTAACTCACTTTTACTTGAACTTTGGGATTTGATAGAATGCAAATCCAACTTTTCCCTGAGT